TGAGAACAATAGGGGTTAATAGCAAGCATGGCTTAAGAAGTGGATTTCTGGGGAAGGTGAGGGTTTTGAGAACAACAGGGGTTAGGTTCTGAGACGGTGGGGCTAGGCATTGAAAGTTGAAAGCAAGACTTGAATGTTCTGTTGGTGATTATTCGGTTAAATGTAATAAACGTCACTGTTGTTTTTGTTTCTAATATTTGTGTATGTTGTTGGTTTTTTTTGGGGGGGGGGCAAGAGGAGAATCCGGTCACTAAGCTTCAGCCGGGGCCGGTTGTCAACCGGGACCGGTATTCGGCCAAATTTTGCTACCCATGCATTCCTAGTTATTACTGTTCAACCGTTAACAGATCTTTTGATAATAAAGTTAGAAACAAAACGACCTTTACACTCCAGATAATTATAAGAGAACTTTTAATTCAACCGACGTTTCGCCTTGAAAAAGCCCTGAATAAGCCACATAGACGAAACGTCTGTTGAAATAAAATTTCTCTTATGATTATCTGGGGTGTAAAGGCCGTTTTTGTTTGAACTTTAACAAATCTTGATTTTATATGTGGAACAAATTTGAACAATGGCTGCAAAAAACATTTTCATTTCCTACAACTCAACGATCGCTTTAAACACATATTTCCTGAAGTTCCCGTTGTCTACTTCCGAAAAAGCAGAACTCTAAAAGATATCCTTGTTTACACAAAAGTGAATTACATCTCACCGAAAAATGGTTGTCATCCCTGCAATAAAGCTCGTTGTCAAACCTGCAAGTTCATAAAAACTACTGATCTCATTTTCTGACAAGCACAACCAAAGAAACTTTAAAATATTCAAAGAAATCACTTGTGGAACACAAAATACCATTTACGTTATACATTGTTAAAAACACAATCACCAATATGTAGGACATACACAAACAACTCTCAGAGAACGTTTCAACAACCATAAATCTTCTATTAACACCGAAAAAAGATCTCCCTTTTGCTCAACACTTTAACCAACCCAGTCATTCCATTAACGATGTTACTCTCATCGGCATTGAAACAGGATTCAAAACTAAAGCTGTTAGACAGATAAAAGAAGCTTACTGGATCGCTAATCTAAATACTTTTCAACCTTGTGGAATCAATCTGGATCCTGGAATTAGTTATCTCCGATCACTGGTTTCATCTCTGTCAGAAAAATAATTTTTATTCCTTGCTTATTTCTTTATGTAGCGTGAACCCTAATTTTTCTAAAACTTACTATCTATTTAAGATAATTTCCCATACCTGTTTGTATAAATCAATTAACTTAACATCTCATTTTTCAATCAGTCTCAAGGTGTCACCTTTATTTTACTTAAACACTTAAGTATAGTTTTATTTATTTCTTTTTTAACAATTTCTAAAGCAAAATATCCCTAACACCTTTTTACATAACCCTCTCGTCGCCAACCGCATTGTATCGGAAATGGAACACACTTACAACAGTACATGGAAAAATATACTAAACATTTCCTGGTAGACCAGATGACCTTTATGACATCACTCAACACCCTTTATATATCACTCATTCATTACACCACCATTCCCAATTTGCCCTTAAAGAAGAAAGATTCACTTTTCGGAAGCGCTCGGGCTATATGGTTTTTATCATTTTGTAATAAAATGTAATATTAGGTGTATTGATTTTTTTTTACTCCTTCACTTCATAAATAATATAGGGGTTGGCTCCCTAAATACACCGATTGTATAATGTACAAAGCATTGAGTACCTATATATTACAGTCATCTGATGTTCGTCTATTATTGGCTGGTAATTCCTGTTTCACCCTGTATTTAAGCTTTTTAAAGGGACACCAGATGTTTGTAAGAAAGCTAACTTCAAGGGGTAATGATAACATCGTTTACACTTGAATTATGATGTTTTTTAGCTTATGTAAAATATAGAAGAAACAAGTCGACTTTTCAATACCTCTACGACATTCACAGTACCTTATTTAGCATTCTACAAAAGGTTTGGGTGCAATATACCAAGCCATTTTGTTGTAGGCTGGCAAGATAATAATAATAATGAGAACAATTACAAACGGGTCGTTTTGAGCAGATTTTCTTTTCCTTGTAAATCTAATATATGGGAGTTTTGTGCATTTTTATATGTGTACAGCTTTAGCAGTCAGTAGTCAAGGTTTTAAAATGTTGTTTGAACTGAATCTTTACTGTTTAAGGTGCTTTTTGTCTGAACGTTCTATTAAGGTTTTGTGTCCCTATTATGAACCACTATATATATATATATATAAATGTGACACACCACAAATTGCAGAGCTCGTAGCGCTAAAAAAATAAAAACATCTGAAAAACATACAGTGATAAATAACATAGATTACATTCACTTAGAGACCACACTGAAATTGTTATTCTTACTTATTTGATTGTAACTGTTAATCTTTTTACAGGACCATAGAAAAAGTTAACTTTTTGCCACACACATCTCTGGGCCACTTACAACACACGTTAGTGTACCGTGATATAACCTCGAGGAAGCATTGGTCTATGTAACAGTGCATTACGTACCTCTTTCGTCTCTTATTGTTTAATCTGTTGGGAAAACAACATAATGTTTCTAAACATTAGGTCATTTTTGGAAGTGATGTAATAGTTTTATAGTGATCCACAGTTCTGTCTTATTCAAAATTGATAAAACAATAAAAAGTAAAACAAAAATGCTTGAGAAATTTGAGTCGTACCCGTGATAATTTTATCCTTTTATAATTTTCTCGGTATTTGTTTTTGTTGAACTTCTCGCATAGCCACACATGAGATATCTGCGCTAACTATCCTTAATTTTGGAGTGTTAGCCTAGAGTGGAATGCAGCTAGTCAACACCACCCATCGTCAACACTTAGGTTACTATTGTCAGACCGAAACCTGAGATTTGACAGTCACTCTTATAACGGAACCACGGCCCCAAAGTGAGGACCATGATTTATTTTTCGCGAACGACGGAACCTCAAATCCACTGTCCAGCACGCTAACCACTGTCTCTTAGCATCCATATCGAATTAAGATGACTTGTCGGTATAAGGACCAACCATGTAGTTAAATATTCAGCATATATATATATACATAACTGTAAACTTTCAGAAACTTTAATAAAATTGTAAACTGGAATAAAATATTTCTGGTTCGAGTTACGTTTATTTCCACAACATAAGACTCTGTGCCATTTTCAAACAATACAATTAATGTATGCAAATCCTTTATATTAAAAGCTTTATACTGATTGCTCTTTTAAATATGGCGGTCTTTCTTCAGTACGGTTAGTAAAAACGTTTAAAACGCCAATTAATTTATAATCGCTTAGTTCTTTATTATTCTAATCGTCTTAGAGATATCTTTCGAAGAACTTGGAGTAAGGCTAGTACAAAATTTTTGGAGCTCGTGTATGTTTATTTATATAATTTTAATGCACTACTACCTTGAGTGTACAACACTTTTACAACGTTAAATGGCCTGCCTTTGCTGTGATCCCGTCTAAAATCATAAAAAAAAAAACCAAGGCAAATGTATTGAACCTAGATTTTACGACACAAGCTCGTTTAACACTTAGAATACTGGCACAACTTCTGGGAAAACCTTACTACCTTAACACGGAAATAAAAAAAAGGTGTAATAAATAGGCATTAGTTTTAAAATAATAAAAACATCAATTTGTTGTTGTTGTTTTTATTACGAAATTCGTCCGTGTATTTTATGCGAAAGGTAAGCTGAGTAATACCGAAGTTGATTGCAAGGTAATGGGTTGTATAAATGTTTTATAGTATATATATATATATATATATATTATACAGCATACGCTTTATTAACATTTGTTTCGCACTATTCTAACAAACAGCATTTCTAAACATATAATCAACGTTGTAAACAAAACCATTTGTTTCATGTTGTGTAACCCTCCAACTATAAACAGTATAACAATGAACGATGTTTGAAATACGATCTACAATATAACATTAACAATACACAATACTTGAAATAGGATCTTCCTTACCACAAACTCTTCATTCAGAATAGTATTACACAGAAAATTTGAAGCTAGGTCTAGAACAATTTTGAAGTAATAAGGAATTAATACAAACTCTTTGTTGCGATTGTCTACTAACATTATATAACTAGAGCATATTTTGAAATAATACTAGAAATCTATACTATTTACTTTATTGCAATCTCAGTTTTGGACGAGTTTAATTACAATTTTAAAAAATGTTCATGTTTAGAGATGTCAAAATAAACAATAGGCTTTTTCCCCAGCCCCGTTTTGCCCACAACTAACATACAATTCTGAAGTAAGAATTCAATATCAACATAAATCTCAATGTATATATTTTATTCTAAATTACATTATTTTGAACTTGATTTCAGCCTGATGTAATAACATTTTTTTTTGTCACGAAACACATAAATGTTCACGTCAGTTTTACACGTTTAAAAACGCTTACAGTTTCTCCAATGAGTGATGACAACATTAAAATAATTAACTTTTGGTGAGATTGGAAAAAATATACCTTAGTTGAATTAATTCTGTAAGTTACACCATCGAGAATAATCTCTTTCTCTCAAAGCTTTTTTCGAACCTTGTTTAATATCAAATAACCATTACTAGTATTAGCATGTACTCAGAAAGGTTGAGTACGAATACAGTGCCTGAACCTTAAGTTTCGTTTCTTAGTAGAAGATTCATAAAATGCTGAATTGGGCATATTGTTAAGTTTTGATTGAATCTCATACAAGCATACATAATTTGCAATATAATAAGCCATTCTAAAGTTGAATAAATTTATTGAAACCATTCTTTATAACATAAAAGATGTTGGATAAATAACTAGTTTCTCAGACGTATTTCTGTATTTAATTTTTGCATGCATAGATATTTTAAAATAATGAAAATACGAACTGTAACTTACTGTTTGATGAGAAACCACATCTACATCAGGGGAAGACATGTGGAGGAAATGTTAAAAACAATATTTTAATAACAGAATAGGCAAGATGCGTAAACAGATGAAATTACAATTGCAACGACAGAATCATGTGCACGGACGGTTACGGTCACAAGCAACTCATTGGCATAGAATATTTCGTACATAAGGAACTGTAACGTGAAATAAAATACACCCCTTACTTCAGCAACGTCTAAACAAACATCTGATACTATAACATACGTAGCAATCCCATCCAACGTCCTAGGCCCCACCCCCACAGATATCTAATCACGTTTAAAGTGGCTAGTTTCGAACCAATCATAATATAAGAGCGGCATTTCCTATTTGAACTGTAACACTGCTAACGATACAGCAGCATTTAAATTCTCGGCAGTTTATACGACTGAAATGTGAAAATAAAAACAACCTCTTGGAAAGTTTTAACCCTCCTATACAAATTTCTGCAATCATTGTTGGACATACGTGTTAAGATAGATCAGTCAAAAATTGAAGTGATTTTTATAAACATTTCAACACATTTTAGTAACCATAAACGTTTTGTATCTTTAAAACAACCAACAAATAACAACAACAACCAATATATAACGCAACTTTTGCTCAATTTTCCGTAATTCATTTGGTTTAACATATTCTCATTCCTTTCATATATTTTTTCGCACTTTTACCTTCTCTCTTCCCATAAACATATTCTAAATATTGTGTATTTGAGACTACATTCAATTAGAAAAATTAGAAGTCGAAACCTGGCAGTTTGTGTGATAAATTACAATAATTGTGTAGCGACGTAAACTACTCAAAATTACTTCACATAATTTGGTATGCCATAGAATACCACCAAAACTTCTATGTGATTATGCAAATAAATGTTCACACATTTTAAACAATAATTATAAGTATATTAATAAGTATAATTATACTTGTCATAAGATATTAGTATTACGCCTATTATATTCTTAAACATTAATTTCTTTTTCTAGTCTCTTAGGAATATTCAAGAATTATAAAGGGCTAGATAAAGAATGTATTTCATAAAAATATAATAGGCCTAACACTAATGTCTTATGCATGACAAGTATAACTATAACCATGTTTTGCCAGCTTATAAAAAGCGTTCATACTATAACAGTATGATCAAATACTCAAAATTATAGCCGTTCCAAATAAATCTTAAAATGAAAATATACGTTTTTTTTTATTTTTACTATGAAGAGATGGCTCTTACTAGTGTAACGTTATCCGCCAGCTCCGTTTGAACAACAACAATATATATAATAATAACGTAATTACCCTTCTTTCTTTGTATTTGAAAATAATTTATCGAATGACCCCATCTAGTCACCTTAGTGAAACACCAGAATCAACTAACTCCTGCGACTTGTAAATTCTGAAATTTAACACTCAGACAATTAAAAATATGAAAATAAAATATTATATAGAAACACGTCAACTAGAAAACGCTCATACCAGGAATATTCCTTTTTATCAATGCCTCGTTGTCTCGTCCAAACTACAAACAGAGTAACAAAGCAAGAGTTATTAGACGTGTTACATGTTAAAAAAACACACACACAAACAACAACATTATTCTTGTGTAGTCTTGCACTATTAGTCGGACAATGCTACAGCAATTTACACAACTATACGTTTTACCTCTCAGTCATTGCCTCAACGCAATTTTAACACCGTTCCGGATATTAATCTTATACAAATGAATATGTGGTTGTATGTATTTTGTTGGTAAGAATTAGGGCACTGTCTATTTTTTCCACAGTGTCCTATGTAAGTTATGAAATGCTTTTGTGTTGTTTAAGAATTTTCAGCGTAAACCTACACACAAAGAACTATCTGTAAATAGCTGTCCATAATTTTGAACTGATAAGACTAGTGGAAAAGAAGTAGTCAACAGCACCCAATGCCCCCTCTCCACTGACTAAATAGTGGGATTTTACCGTCACTCTTATGAACCACCAACGACCCTAAATTGTGGAGCGGGTTTTGGAAGCAACGGGTTACCTATAATGAACTTTTGGATGCGCAGTCCGAGCACGCTAACCACTAGCCCACGACCATCTCCATTATAGATGCACACACGAGGATAACTATTCAAACAATTGCGTTTTGATTCCAAATGTTTTTTGTTTTTTTTTTGCAACCTGACCTACTTGCCATAAAGGCAGGAATGAACCCCCGTATCTTAGAGGCATGTTTTATAGTTTCTTCAGAGAAAAATGTCGTAACTGGATGTCGTTATAAATGTATTGTTACGTATTTGCTCGTTTGTTAATTTCCGAGGAACTTCAGTGATACAAGTCCTTTCCTAATTAAAACTAGTTTATTCTTTCTCGATACAACTTTATAATACACTGAATTTCCACAGTCAATACGTTTGCAATCTCGATAGCAAAATACACACTTTATATTACCGTCACTACCGCTCTCTTGACTCAATTACGTGTCTCTATATCTATCTATCCATCAATCTCTGCAATTTTATATTTTTTGCTGGCTTTATTTGCTGGGCTTATATAATAAAAAAGAGGGCGCCTGGAACAAACTAGAGTTACCAGGAAAATTCATGACCCTTCGAGAAACTCCAACGCGCATGCTCCCAGCGTTGCGTGACTTCCGCTGTCGTAACACTACGCCTTCCTTAGTATCGTTCGTCCCGAACAATAGCCACTTACATTAAACCAATAGATAATTAACAATAACTTGATTAAATGTACAGAATTTAGAAATACAAAATTAAAATACAACAAAGTGTCCTAATTTTACAGAACACATCTTCTGGAAGTACTGGTCTCCGTCTCATTGCCTTCTGCTTCACGTGGGGCTCATCTGCTCCATCAGGAAATGTCGCATTATCGGTAGCAGTCACATTAGTGGTAGTAACTTCATTAATGGCTTCACTGTTTTCTTTCTCAAAACCGGGTAGAGTTTCTTCTTCAAGGGTGGCTTTTTCAGGTGGCATGTCTTCGCCAGCGTCATTTGTTCTGTTGTTCTTTTCGTTTCAAGTGAAATGTCCTAGACCGTGATAACGCCAAAGCCTGTTGGCATGCACCACCTTTGGCTTACCTCGCCGATCACAGTGTATTCGGAAAGTTACGTCTAAGAGACGATCCACTGTGTCATATGGGCCTTCCCACGGAGATGACAACTTAGGAGACTTCCCTTTGGTCTTCCTGGGATTATACAACCACACCTTGTCTCCTGGTACAAAGCTGACTTCAGTAGATCTCTTATCATCACATAGCTTCATGGAATCACCATACGTTTTCAAGTTTGAAAGCACTTGATGATGATTATCATCCATCCTTTCAGATAACACTTTCACGAACTCTGACACATTTTCAGGCAACTCTTCATAAGGTGGACGTCCTGTTATCAGGTCCACTGGCAACCGAAGTTCCCGACCAAACATCAACTTTGCTGGAACGTATCCAGTGGTTTCATGCTCTGCTGTTCTATAGGCCGCCAACACTGGAGGGAATAAGACATTCCAGTCATCTTGGCGGCTATTACAAAACTTTGCCGATTCCTGTCCAAGTGTCCTATTGTACTTTTCTACCATCCCATCAGACTGTGGGTGAAGTGGCATTGTCCTGGTCTTTCGTATGCCAAACAACTTGCAGAATGTATGGAACACAGCTAATTCAAAGTTACGGCTTTGATCTGAATGCAGTTCGTATGGCATTAAAAACCTGAAGAAAAAATCACTAATAGCCGAAGCAACAGTTGTAGCTTCCTGATTTG